TGCTAATTATTTCACAATGGTTTATTATTTCCAAACTATTATACATCTAAAGTAACATTATCTTCCTAGTTACAAAGAAAAAAAAATAAAAGGTGATTCCAATTAATGGACTAAACTTTTCTTTATAATCATTAGTAATATGCTAAAAAAATTAGCATTACCTAAGTAACACATTCAAAATTCAAAAACCAAAACAAAGGATATAACCTTTACAGCACAACGTATTAAAAAAAATAGAGACCATATCTTATCTCCTAATTGTCCGATTTTAACAACTTTTTTTTTTTTAGGCAATTCCGTAAACTTTTAGAAAACCATTAAAAAAACCCCGATATCTCTTTTAGCGCTTTGATTTCGATGAAACTTCTTTCATTTTTTAGGAAATTTAAATACCTTTGAAACATATTATCACAATATCCTCAAAAAAGCATATACTTTTTGAGTTATTCGGAATAAAATTTTGCCATCCCTCGTAACTTTTTTTCCAGCTTCTTTTCGTTGAAGTAAGTTATATAGATAAATTTAAAGGCTGTCGAGAAAATGACTTTAGCGAAGTTTCATTGAAATCGGTACATTCGTTTAGGCGCTACAATCTATAGCAACGCAGGTTATTCTGCATTTTTTTTTCTCCTTTATTAACTTATCAAATTCTTTCAAAAGTTAGTTTTAGCATTTTTTCGTAACTTTGAATAATGTGAAATGATTAACTTTTTAAAATAAACCATATTATGAATCAATATTGATGGGAATAAGACCTAATTGATATTAAAGACCACTTAATTATACAATGGTACACCGAGTTTAATCAAAATCGTTAGAGCCGTTTTTGAGAAAATTGTTAAAATGTGTTTCAGCGTTGATACAAAGTGGCACTTCCGGTTAGCCGATTTTAAGGAAAAAGTTGCCTTCACATCTAAGGCATATACCTATCTTAAACACGTAATATCAGTTTCGTAGGACTATTCGTTTATGAGCTAGACTGCTAACATACACAGACCGTTTTACGGGACTTGGTCATTTTGACTCTGGGTACCTCAAAACGTGTATTTCCGTAGAAAACTCAGATTCAAAAATTTTCTCGATCGCAATGCTTACCCTTACTATACATTACATATATACATAAGTGAAAGTAAGTAGATAGGAAATGGGCGAACTGGTGCATTTTTTAGGGCAGCCAATCAGAAGCCAGGATTTCAGTGACGTCATCATGGCGGAAAGTTTGAATTTGAATTTAAACCACGGTACGCTGCCTTTTCGGTCCTCCAACCAGCCTTAACCACCACGTGGTCGGCCTCCGGCCAGCCTTAACCACCACGTGGTCAGTCACGTGACCCTTAGGCCACGCCCACTTTAACCTTATATCTATCTTAACCACCTAGCCACTCCCCTTTTTAGTCACGTGATCAGTCACGTGACCATTTGCCACGCCCCTTTTCGGTTGTGCGACCTCCATATTTTCCCCCACTCTTCCCTCGGAGGCTGATTGTGCCCGGCAGCCATCTTGTTTTCTGATACGAGGTTTTCTTCTTGTATGACGTCATGAGACCCTTTTTGATCGTGTACCTCCCACCTTTAATCCCCACTCTTCCCTCTGAGGCTGAGTGTGCCCGGCCGCCATCTTGTTTTCTGATACGAGGTTTTCTTCTTGTATGACGTCACGAGACCCTTTTTGATCGTGTACCTCCCACCTTTACTCCTCACTCTTCCCTCGGAGGCTGAGTGTGCCCGGCTGCCATTTTGTTTTACTGCAATTTGAGAGACTTAGGGCGTTGTTCGCCATTTCGTTTTTTCTATAATCTTCCTAATGTTTATCTTTTATATAACCTTCTTATTATTTACATTTTCAGGGTCACGTAATCAGTCACGTGACCATACCCCATTTTTCCTGTAACCTTCCTAGTGGTTATATTTTATATAACCTTTTCAATGTTTACCTTTTCAATGTCACGTGATCAGTCACGTGACCTTAGCTAATTTATTATTTATATAGAATTTTCAGTGATCATTTCATGAAATCCATACTTCATTTTGATCGTCTTGTTCTTGTAAAACATATCGTCACAATGCCAACCTTTATCCACCTGTAAACAGGTTTGGATACGTTTCGGACACGTCCAATCCTCCCTAGATTATATGTAAACAATGACCTTTAATCCTCTTGATGTAAATGGACTTTGGCACTTTAATCTCTTATTGCTTATTCTTTCTCCAACACATGTAAACAAACTTTTTAATCCTTTCTTATCTAACTATAAACATGGACTTTGATCTTTTAATACTCAAAACATCTTTATCTACCTGTAGACACGTTTGATCATGTTACGGACTTGTTCCATCCTGTGTAGATTATATGTAAACAATGGCTTTGAATTTTTAATCATCAATCAATTAAACATTTCATGAAAATTTAAGCTCAGAGATAAACCTTGGGAGATTTATGATCAGTTGCACTCATCTTAGTTTTCTAAATATAATATTTAGAATTAAGCCTTCCCACCACGTCAAGGTATGAGTGCTTCGGGAAGGTTGTTGATATAATATTGTTGTTAATATTTTCTACCAAATCATTCATTTGGTTTACGGGTAAATCAATACCTCGCCAGTGACCATAACATACAGGTTTACGGGTAAATTAATACCTCGCCAGTGACCATTATTTTTAAAATAATAACAACAATAATATATCAACAAAAGCTATGTATAAAAAGAAAAATAATCTTAAAAAAAAAAACTGCACAGTTTAAATAACAAAAACATTAACTTTAGAATACTTAAAAGTTCAATATAAAAGTGATTTAATACAACAAAACAATTAACTTTTTTTTTATGTACTTATATTTATATATTTTTTTCATGTTTTTATTTTTTATTTCTTTTTTATTATATATTTTTTTAATTTTATTAAATATAAACAAAAACAAACAGCTATTTATATATGTGTCCTTAGCCAGTGGGCTAGAGAGTAGACACGATAAATTGTACACATTTTGGGAATTCCATAATGCACCAGGCAATGACAGCCACCAAATTAACGGGTTGCTATAGGAGGTTTTAAACTGTCAATTCTGGGGCAATTACGTTCCTCCAGATCAATTACTGCGCTTTGAATAAAACGGCGGAGAAAATGCACTTTCTTTTGTCCTTTTACGAAGACAACAGCGTACTTCTTGAGATTGTCATGGAGGACTGAGCTCAGATCATATTCCACATCCCCTTCCTACCAATTAATTTTATGATAACGGTGGAATAGCCATTGATTTGTGCGATCAGTTTTCGCGTTAAATTTGATCGGATCTTTGGGAGCTTTGAAAAGCCAGTGGCGTATGCATGAAAAGTTATAATCTAAAACTGCGAGTTCTTTAACGATGAATTCGGAATCGTCGTCCACGAAACTTTGGAGATCTACAATGCATGACGCCATGTTGATAAATGATTCTCTAAAGCGGGTGTCGGCTACTTTTATACCATTCGACGAACTATGCCAGTCAAGGGATTGTATTGGATAACTCTATCATGTATAATGAGACAGTAGGCCGTAGTAAGCGGTGGAAAATTATTTTTCGATTCAAACTCCAGTCTTACATCAACCGAACCAGTTTTTATAGACTCGGTTTGTTTTGCAGTCAATCACGACCAGAGGCGCCTTACTCTTGAAATTTTCCCAACTCGTTGGTGGTTCACCATATTGAGAATCTTCATAGTAAGACTGTTGAAACGCAATATACATGTGATAGAGCAAAGCATATCGATTTGTAGAAAAATCCAAATTCATATCATCATACGGATATGATTTACAATTCAGATAGTGCTTGACGTTTGTCAGATCACAATGATCGAATTGACTAGAATCATTTCGAGCATTGTTTTGCCTATTGGTTTGAAAGGCTAAAATAATATAACGAGGTTTTTCCATTTGACTCGATGTTTTAACAGACCAGATTTGTCTTTTGCTCGTGGGCAAGAGTGGATAGTCAAAGAGTTCCCAGCTACGAAAAGGAATAGAGAACGTCCTTTCAGACCTGAGGTGTCGCATGAGAGCCAGTTTTTGTTGCTCATTGACCGTTACATACGGTAACTTCCAACATAGTTTGAGTATCTCTATTTTACACTGTTCTTGAGGTACATCTTGAGTTACGGTTGTTTTGTAACTATTCTCATCATGCCGGCTTCTTATTAAAATCAATTCTTGCTTCACATTCAACATGATCTTTGGATGATCTTCGAACACTCCAAGCAACTTCGCTAATGGTATTATCACATTAAACTCACCTTCGGGCGATATTAAGTTTGTAATCTCATCATTTGGATAACACCATCCTTGATATGTCAAGGTATTAAATTGCCCTCCTCTAAGAGAAACGAGATTTTTTAAAGTAGACGTAATTCTGGGGTTTTTCACGCGATCAACTTCTACTCCGCTCAACTCATATCGGATCTCATCGAAAAGATAAGCGATCGCATTGTTTGTCAATCTCGATAATCTCGGAATCGGTATTCCGTCTTGTTGGATGAACTTCCCTTCGACGTAGAGCAGACTGTGGCTGGGTAATGTGTACAAATCTTGGTGTTGCAAACTGATACAAATCTTATCACCAGATGAAAGTTTTGACGAGGCGTAGGGGTGATGAGTGTGAAGTTCTATGCATTCGATAGAATTTCTAATCGCGGGACTGCCCTCTAAGTTTAATATGTCTTCCATGTCGATGACAGAACGTAGTATCCTAGTGATTGAAGAAATATAATATTACTCGCACTCAATGATACGCAGTCTTCAATAATCTTCACTGGAATGATTCTTCTGTCCGTGGTTACGCCTTTATATACCTTTCTGAAGTCTAAACCCATGGTTTTTTCAGATCGGAAAATTTCTATATGAGATCCAGTAAATATAGGAGGCACAGATGACCGCAATTGTTAGTTCTCGTTTCTTGATACAGTTTATCGTTTGCAGAGATTCGGCAATTTTTCATATAACGCACAAACTCAGATGGAGGTTTAGCTCAACTACTGTCAACGTAGTAAACTAATTGTAAAATTTTCTTATAGCAGACCCAATGAGTACCTTTGCCGTAACTGTTGTCCAAATTGAAAATTGTACGTTCGTTTTTCCACGGTTTGTTGGGAAATTCGTCTCTCATAAACACACCTCTAAATGTGCGCACTTTATGCACTTTCGCCAGCAGTATTAGATCGAAATTACTCAATCTGGTTTTAGGTATAATCCGCTGATATCGTTTTGCTTCGTTGCACAATTTAATCGCACTACTTCCAATCTGTTTTGGCGTTTCGATAACCCGAAGCTTCTTTTTCTTCTTTTTGTTGTTGTCAGCACAACGTCTCATGACTAAATGAGCATCATAGCGATAATTTCTTCTTATATATTTACATCGATGGCCTTCTCCCAGCTGTTGTGTGAATTATCGAAACCAAGCCACTTAACCAATACCTTATTACCTTTCCTTTTGATCACCTTCTCGACAAGATAGCAGTCAGAATATTTGACCACTTGAAGCTCTTCTTGATAGAAACCTCCTGCCATAGTTTCACCTCTGTCATCCTTCAAGTGATAAGTTACTGGTACAGTGTGTTTAACCCGCTCTATCGTAAATATTTCCGACGTCCAAGACGGTTGATAACCTTTTGCGAACTGAGCCTTATACTTTGAGATTCTCACTCGATCTCCAGCTTTGTATCTGTATCTGGCAGCTTTCATGCCAGATTTCTTTTTACCATATACTTCGAGTAAAAGTCCTTTTTCGATTTTCCTTCCGCGCACATCTATCGGCTTCATTTTTATCGTACTATGTTTTCTATTATTGTATTCGCTAAGAAGAGAATCCAAAATTGCTAACCACTTGTAATTACCTTGTAAGCTGAACTTTTTCCACATCTCGGACTTTAATGTACGATTGAATCTTTCCACTATCGAAGCCTTCAGATTGCTGAATGTAGAGTAATGGTTCAGCTCACCATTGACTTTCAGAAGTTTTTTAAACTCCTTGTTGTAGAACTCCTTGCCGTTGTCTGTCTGAAGATTATGAGGTTTTCTTTCTTTCAATATCTTTTGAAATGCCATTATTTTATTTTTATTACTTATTTCGAGCGCTGTCTTATTCTTGACCGGTACAGCCCAAGCGTATTTCGAGAAGTAGTCGATCACGGTAAGAAGGTATTTGTAATCATTATTTATTCGCGAATAAGGAATCAATTCCACCAAGTCTGCCTTGCCATAAATCATCTATACCTTTAAGTAGGACACTTCTTCGTTGAAATGATCTTCTAACCGGTTTATGGAGCTCACGCACGATCTGCTCTTTAACAGTCGTCATATTGAACTGAGAGTATGAACTGATATTACTAAGCTATTATACCACCTATCCGGAGTTGCGATTCTATACGATGAATCTCTGCTTGTTTCTTGGCGCTCTTGGGAGATTCAATCAATTCCCTCAATCTGTTAACTAGAATGTTGGGATCATCGATTCCACTTCCCTTTTTCGACGGGAATAGTTTAGAGATCACTTTTTTATATTTCAAATTGTGCTTTAGTTGTCGTATTGAGCCAGTTGGACAGTATTCTATCTTGTGAGCGTTAGTCTGGTTCAATATTTTCTTGTACATTTCGAAGTCATCCTTAGTTGCAAGACCAAGTTTTGGATTTGCCATAAATAATAACTCAAACAGACCAGGCGTGCCGTAGTAGTCAACCTCACCCACGGAAATAATGTCTTTTTGTATTGAAACAACAGTATCTCCAACGGTAAACCTTCGACCGTCGTAGACTATACCGTAAATCGTATCGAGTTCTTTTATATCATTGTTGACTAGTTTTTTAATATAATTCGAAGCTACCTCACCGACTTCTTTCAAACATTGTTCAACCATTTCTTTGCCTTCAGGAGCAGTCGATGCATTTGACTGCATCTCGAAGCATTTGCAAAGAAGATCTCGGTTCCAAGATTGTCACGGTAGGACTAGCCAATTGAGGGCTATTATCATACACTTCCTCTTTTAAGGGACCCGCTGTTGCTCTGACGTCTTCCGGAGACTCTGGATATAGCCATCTCGATCGGAATATCTCTAATGAAGGAGGCAGTGGAGTTTCCTCAATGCTTCTTCCTGCTTCCTCAATCATAGATTTTTGCGTCATTTCAAATGATTTTTTCTCCTTCTTCATACGTGGGGATAAATAATTAGTTTGAGTCTCTATTAAAGGTTTGCTCAGAACGCTTAATCTGTTTACTGCGTCAATAACTGGTTTATATTTTTCTTTTCGAGACTCCTCAATCTCCTCTCTACTTCTCTTCAATAAGTTGCATTTTCGTGAATTGCATTCCTCATTTCGATAATTTGGCGAGTAACCGCTTCAGAAGATGTTGACGGTTCCATGTCTGCTAGCTGACTGAGAATTAGATAATCGTTTAAGGTATTATATAGATATCAAATCCTTTTCGATATCTTCCATTTGACATTTCTCTGTCTTTATCTAACACGATAAAGGCGTACTTGTCATCTTTCCAACACCAATGACATATTTTTTTGAATGTTTTCAAATCCATATCAGAGTTGATCTGATCATCATAGATCCTTCTCAAATTAAGTTCGTCTTGTCGGAATAAAATGAGAAGATTTGAATTTTCTCTGATTAGATGTTTTGGAATTCTAGTATAACTCTGACTCAAGTAGAAACTGTCCACACCATTATGCCGTCCCATGCAAAAGTAGGCTCGAACATTGTCTTGTTTATCGCAGGCGATATCATCGAAAATAAATATAGAATTGACTCGAGCTTCCTTCGGTGACGGTACACTTGAGTTGTCTTCGTGTTGAAAAAAACCAATTTCCTCTAGAGGTTCTAGTACCCGTGCTAGTTGCCTATACTTTGGCTGATGTAAAGATTTAGCAAATAAGTAAATATTTTCATACCTCAAACCTGCTGGATCGTAGATTAAACTCAACATGAGATTCGTTTTCCCGCAATTTGATGGTCCACATATTAGACATCTGATAGAGTCGGGAAGGAGAGAACCGTGTCTCGATATTTTTACTACGGGACAGCATCTATCTTCGAGATTGAAAATTTGGAGAGTATGGTGTTGCTTTACCAAACGCATGTTGAAGACTGAGCAGAATTTTTATACTTCACTCCCTTTTATACTTATCGTGGTGTTTGAGACTTGCCGACTAATTTTGATTACGAAAAATAACTTTTTGCTTACATAATGTTTTTAAACAAAAAAAAAAAATAAATAAATAAAACAAACATTTTTGTTTTGCACTCATCTTAGTTTTCTAAATATCATTTAGAATTAAGCCTTCTCACCACGTCAAGGTGTGAGTGCATCGAGAAGGTTTGCTGATATAATATTGTTGTTAATATTTTCTGCCAAATCATTCCTTTGGTTTACGGATAAATCAATACCTCGCCAGTGACCAGTACACATACATTCTTTGGTTTGCGGGTAAATCAATACCTCGCCAGTGACCATAACATACAGGTTTACGGGTAAATTAATACCTCGCCAGTGACCAAAACATACATTCCACACACATACATTCTTTGGTTTACGGGTAAATTAATACCACGCCAGGGACCACAACACACATTCATTCGTTAACAACAATAATATATCAACTAGAAGAACAATATGTGTCTATTATCTTTTATCTGGAAACGATAAATTTCTTTTAAACCTTTTTCCATTTTGATCAATTTTTTTCTCATAGTATAGATTTCAACAAAAGGGGCTTGAAATAAGAGTTATTGTTTTTTCAACTAAATTAAATAATCTTCTACCTATATCTATTAATGAAAATAAAACTAATTCTAAATTCTTAAAAAATATTTATAATTACTTTTTTTATTTAATTGTTTTATTATTTTAATTTTGTTATTTATTTTTTTACTACAAAACTATTAACAATAAACTAATTACAACAAAAATATTAGTTAATGAACTATTTCTGTCAAAACTATTCACAATTTTTTTTGCTATATACACTGGCCAGTATTGGGAGAGAGTTTTAGAGGGAGCAAGTATGCCATATTCTCAACACCTCATCTAAGCGTCCGGTATGGAATAATGACCATGAGCCAAAGTACGAATTCCGTCGATATGATCGTCGTGTTTATCGTCGTGTGGCGAAAGGGAAGTCTTTGTCTGTATGACGGAAAAGAGTTTATGCTCTTTTGAAATAATTGAACGAAACGTCGTCTTGAACTCTTTTCCGTCGCGCAGTGTAGCTAGGTAATCATCGAAAGTTATTCTATTTTCTACAGCTGATTTTTTTATCCCTTTCGCCTTTTTGATGACTTTATTGACGGGAATTCGTAGCGAGTACATCTTCGCACGAAGTCCGACAAACTCAGAGACGGGTACTCTATTGGCTTCGTCCTTAAATTTTCCCAACACCTTTTTATTATACGACCTGTGTATCGGATGTCCATTAGGGTAGTCAGAGGTATCCAGTTCGTCCATAAATTCTGTCATGTCATTATATAAATCGTCCGTCTTTATAAGATACAGTAAACTGTCAGTGTCTGTCTACATTAATTTTAGCCTGTATGGTCCGTAGTAAGGTAACATAGTATCGTAGTGGAATTCGTACATTCGTACCTTGGAAAGATCCAAAATGGCCATCCTTACGTAAATAGGTTTGTTCATTTCGATCTTTTCAAAGTCGGAATGTACTGCCACTAACGAATCTGTATATATTGTCCTGTCTTTGAATGTTGGTTTAGCTGTAAGTTTTGTTAGTCGTCGTTGATTTACTACAAGCTCAATCTTACACCGTTTTCGGACATCCTCCATAAACTTTCCGAAAACGGCATTGTTCATGAGCTTAAAGAAGTCTTTGTCGAAGTCGTTCGTAGCTTGTTGTCGGTGTTTGGTGTTAAGTTCAATGTAACTACGAAGCCAATGAGATTGTCGGAATAGGAGCGCTCGATGTACTCGAACTAACTTTAGTAGTAAGCTCATGGCCTGTTGCAAGTTGATGAAATGCAAAACGTATTTTTCCCTGTTGTCCAGTGAAGCCCAAAGCTTTTTGAATTTTCCACCGGGTGGAACTTTATTCTCTGGCAACAGAGGGAAATCGTTGTGCAAATCGTGCAGCCGTTCCGGATATTCTATATCGGCTTCAACGATGTAGCCGAAAGGCCCGTCTTTTGGTAAATTGAGAAAATCTACAGATTCCGGATTCTTGACCCATTCGAAACCGCCAGAAGGAAGCACTTTCGACATTGCCCATCCATACAAGTTGTTTGCGTCCAGATAGGAGATATATGAAGATTCCTCCTGGGGATCTCGATCTGGGTCAAGATATTTATTGCTCGCTATTCCATAACGATGACTGCATTGGCACAAGCCACCCCTTATACCCCGCTCGATCATCAGGACCATATCATAATCAGCCAAGAGATCTAATTGTATCCCCGTATACTTCAGCATGGCATCCCAAGCGAGTCCGGGTGCGGTGTAATACCAAGCCGGGTCCAGCGAATATGCTCCCAAACAGGCATCTCTGAAATTTTCAAAGATATCGCAAAGGAGCATAACATCTACCTTGAGGTAGAGTTCACTGTACGCGGCAAGGGTTCTAATATTAAACGTGCCCCATACCGCTTGAGCATGCTGATAGTCCTCGTCCGAGACGGGCATTTCATTCAATTGATTATAAAATGCTTCCTTCGGGGGCAGAACCGTCTCCCGAAGTTTCTCGAACGAGTCCACGTAATCATAGGGGTACACTCCTTTTCTGATCACGAGGTCCAAATGGTCAGCGGGGAAGAATTTACTCGTCTCTTTAAAGTTAGACCTGGGTTAAATTCTTGGACAACCTATCCAGACTGGAAGCCATAAAGCGGAATGAGTCCACAAATCTAACGGTTAAGGGACCCACTGTCATTGCGAAGGAGATGTATTTCTCCTCAGAGTTCGGGATGACGTCAATCCGCATGTTTTTGTTTTCTTCTTCAGTCAAACCTCGTCCCAACTCTCGGACAATGAAGTGAGCATCGTAACCGCCGAGGTTGTGAAATAGGACGGGAAGGAAACGAGGGGTACGGTACAGGATATTACATTTCGAATGTGCTGGACCACGATGCATCCCAGTGATGTGATCGTGATCCATCACTTTCCCATTGTCGGAAGTATAAGGACGGGAACATAGGTAACAGGTTTGGGATTGAAAGTGGGCTTCCATCTGCATGTACCGCTTCATGGAGTACACCAGAGACACCTTCTTCGCCACTTCCCTGATATATGCCATAAATTTATCTGCTGAATCTTCGCCTGTGTACCTGTTTGCAGGTACAAACCTGTTTACAGGTGGATAAAGGTTGTGACGATATGTTTTACAAGAACAAGATGATCAATATGAAATATGGATTTTACAAAATGATCACTGAAAATTCTATATAAATAATAAATTAGCTAAGGTCACGTGACTGATCACGTGCAATTGAAAAGGTAAACATTGAAAAGGTTATATAAAATATAACCACTAGGAAGGTTACAGGAAAATGGGGTATGGTCACGTGACTGATTACGTGATCCTGAAAATGTAAACAATAAGAAGGTTATATAAAAGATAAACATTAGGAAGATTATAGAAAAAATAAAATGGCGAACAACGCCCTAAGTCTCTCAAATTGCAGTAAAACAAAATGGCAGCCGGGCACACTCAGCCTCCGAGGAAAGAGTGAGGAGTAAAGGTGGGAGGTACACGATCAAAAAGGGTCTCGTGACGTCATACAAGAAGAAAACCTCGTATCAGAAAACAAGATGGCGGCCGGGCACACTCAGCCTCAGAGGGAAGAGTGGGGGAAAATATGGAGGTTGCACATCCGAAAAGGGGCGTGGCAAATGGTCACGTGACTGATCACGTGACTAAAAAAGGGGAGTGGCTAGGTGGTTAAGATAGATATAAGGTAAAAGTGGGCGTGGCCTAAGGGTCACGTGACTGACCACGTGGTGGTTAAGGCTGGCCGGAGCCCGACCACGTGGTGTTTAAGGCTGGTTGGAGGTCCGAAAAGGCAGCGTACCGTAGTTTAAATTGAAATTCAAACTTCCCGCCATGATGACGTCACTGAAATCCTGGCTTCTGATTGGCTGCCCTAAAAAATGCACCAGCTCGCCCATTTCCTATCTACTAAAGTAAAAATAATACATTTATATTACATTGTCTATTCTCTATATAAATTATGAAGAATCTATCTATACTGACTTACTTGAAATAAACTTTTTAACTACTAAAAAAAAAGAACAGTAGTCTTTTGAATAACATTACTAATGTATTGGGGAGCGAATCTTACATTAAAATACTATTATTGTAATATAAGTAATGAATAAATAATTTTCTAATTTTTCCTTATTATGTTTACTTCGAAATAGATTAAAAATGTATAGGGTATGATTTTTATTGACATTAGACAGTCATTCTAACATAAGAGTTTAATCATGTTACATTGTAATCATAAAATAAATCATTTATTCTTTTTTCTACTGAAATTATTTATTTTCGAAATCATAAAATGGATTAAAACTCACTTGAAATAATCAACTAGAAAATACTTCGTAAAAGGGCAGTCGCGGATAAGTAAATCGGACGGAAATAATGCTCGAGAGAGGACATTTTTCCTATGATGCTCTTTATTTAGTGCTGAATATAATTTTCCACTTGATTCTTCTTCTTTAATCGAACAGATTATCTTGCAAATTCAAGTAAAATTTTGCTCGTCAAATATATCAATGAGTTTTTAGTACCTCATTAAATTAATTAATTTAATTTAAAAAAACGCCCTAGTTCTGAAAAAAGTTTCAATAAGGCGTTTGTAGGTTACGATTAGATAGCGCCGTTTACAAACTTTTAGATGGATGTTAATTTGATAAAAAGGGGTCAGTACCACAGAATATGATGTTATAACTGAACGCACGTGTCAAAATTGATTTGCCGCATTTCGGTCTTGAAATTTTGACATCAATAGTGATAGTTTGGGCACAAACAAGATATTGAAACTTATACAAGAAATTGTGAAGTAGAGGTGGCTAGCCCAAATAATCACGCGGGCCACTTATGAAATTATATATCTACATAATACACTATAGACATTTTTGTGGAGTGAAAAATTTAAATATAGTGAGTTTTTTCTCCCTTGAAACTGGATGTCTGCTCTGTTCTTGTATCAACAATAAACTGAGAATATCTAGGAATGATCACTAGTTCACTCAGGTCACTTACAGTGAAACAAAGAGGCTGTTACATTACATGTTCCACGATGCGCGCTCATCGTGATTTCACACAATATAATTTAACTATTTTCTGAACTCAAAAATAAAACAGGCTATATCTGCCATATATTTGCAAGAATATTACTTTTAAAATCAAAGTTAATCTTTTCTCTTAATTCGGGCAATTATTTTTTTAATGATGCACAAATAATGTATTATTTTTTTTAAATACATTTGTTCTCACTACTTTGGTCGCTATAAAATAAATAGTCGGGCTGTCGATCAAAATTCCGCCCGATCAGTACGAAAGTTTGCTATGACCCGAGATGTGTTCCACGCGAGCGTAGACTACCATGGCTTCGTTTTTGGGCTTGTTGTTTGAGCACTGCACTCTCTAATCGAAGTCAACTTAGCATTATTGAGATTTGGATGGGACCTAGATCCATGCGATCACCACTTGTAGAACTCTAGGACTGTGAATTAGAAGCAAAAAACACTTCGATCAGTATTTTGACAATAAATCACGGACGTTCAATAAATGTGGTATTACACTGTTAGTAGTGTTGTCCAAAATTGGTCTCGCTCTTGCAGTCTTCGTCCTGGTCTTGCATTTTTGCGAGACCAAGACACCAAAATTGTTGCAAGACCAAGACCAAGACCAGACCCTGCAAGTCTTGCAGTTAAGTCAAACTGAGACTATTTTCAGATATAGTACGGTGCTTAAACATGTTGGTCATCTATTCTAAACAGCGTTGTTTTTCTTGTGGAATTTTATATTTGAGTATAGCTTTCCAAGTTATAATAAAAATATAATCTTTTTTGTTTGTTCTCCCCTACCTCGCCATTTAGGTTACATGAGGGTTTTCGCGGGCTAAGGGGTGAGGTCGGGGGTTTAATGCCAGAGTTAAAAGAACTCATAATTATTTTATTGTCTCCAACATCGGTTATCAGGTTGTCCGGCAACGCGCAGTGCACACTCGTTAGACCGCTCGGCCACCCCGCTCCTAAAAATTAATGATTTGCCAGAATCGGAACAAGATAAGAAAACAAAACAAAGAACGATTTCCATGAAGAAAAATCACTAGCCTAGAAAAATTACTAAAAATACTAGCCCGTTTTGGTTATTATAATAAAACTCTTCAAAAGAAGCGGACACTCATTGGGAATCAATAGATCAATCAACCGCTATAGAGAGATGCAAGTTTAAGAAAAATTGGAAGAAAAATATCTTAAAAAATAACATTTAGAAAACTATAAAAACATTTTTCTTTTTAAATTCACAAATAAAACTATTTTTATGAGAAATTTAATAATATATTTTGCATAACAATATTGCACATAACAAAGGTAAACTTATTTGTATATAGAAAAAAAATAAGAGTATAATAGTGTTTTCCAATTTGTTATGGATGGATAAAATCGTTACAATTATTCCATTATCCTTGTTCAAAATGAATATTGTTCTTCAGCCAACTAATTTGTGAGAGAACTTCTTAAATATTCATTGAGAAATTCTTTAATATTCACTCAGAGATCACGAAATGTATTTTCAGCTGAAAGGTCCAGCGCAAGTATAATTGTTCGAAATGATTGTGCGAACGCAGGAGGGTTAAGATACAAGCTTGGGGAAACCATCTATATGTTACTGCAACAACGGCATTAAAATTATTTTTTTGCATTATCATTTCCGTGTTTGGCCCGCTGTTCACAGTATGCGTTATTTCTTCAAAATGTCTAACCACAAAGTTTTAATCGATTGTCTAATTTGCGAATACTGAGCTTTCTGATATACTCATTAATAACATAACTTCTTCTTTGAAATTTAACCGAAATCATGTTGACAGATTACAATCAAATCAGTGGAAATAGGAAGAAAGGGCTAAGATTCTTATTTCAAAACCGGATTCCCTGTATTCATAATTCCCTGTATTCATAATAGAACTAAGCGACAATATAGTGGATTATGTTCTCACATGTTACAATATGTTCTCAGATTATGAGCTTCATAATTTCCTTGCGTATAGTGATTCCTAACTGGATTTTTTGGTCATAACTCCATTATTTTTCATCAGATTTCCTTGTTTCGTCGTTTTATAGCAACACTAATATATATTCCCTATTATGTGAGCAATGAATATATTATCAGAAATAATATATGAAAATAAATGACACTGTGGTAGATGGTGTGACATATCATATTATAATATTCGATTTTTTATCGAGCATTAGAAATTCTGGTTTTATTCAGCTACTAAATACGTTATATATATGTATGTATTAAGATATTATACTTTATGTTTTTTTTTTATCTTGATAAGTATGAAATTTGGTTCATTCTACTGTTAAACTAGATTCTCAAAAACTGATATAATTTTTATTAAAAATTTCAGATAATGCCAATATTATTAGACTTTCCGCTTGCAAATTAATACATTAATTTTTTTAATACTATTACATGAAACAGGATTCAGAACTTTAACATAAAATTTAGTATCAAATTATTTTATCTTACCTTATTTTTTAAACGCTTTTGTGGACACGTATTGGTTAATTATCGTCCATGAATTGTTCTTCATTTTCCTTATAGTTCTTCATTCTTACAATTCATAATTTTTTTACTAAATATCCTACCGATTTTTTATCTTTCCTTTTTTATTTTATTTGATATATGACGTATGACACAGAACTACATTAATGTTTATTGTTAATCTGGTCATGATAGTTATTATCAGGAGTGCCCATTTCCCCAAGGTCGATGGGTCGTGCCCCCTCCCCCCAAAAAAATATTAATGGCCCTCTCACTTATATAATTAATATGTATTTATATGAGATGTAATATTAATGTTAGTTTAAAAGATAGTAGATATAATATTGGTTTCTTTCTCCAGAATATTAAAGGCACAATACATGAGGCAATTACAATCAACAAGTAACATCAGTAATATTTAGAGGAGGCAAGGTTCCCCACTGCCTTCCTCTGCATATGCCCATTCCAGGAATTCATTATTATTTTGTTTTAAAATATTTTTCGTTTTAAATGAGAATTTTATTTTAAATAATTTCGAGAACGTTGTCAAAAGGGGGTACATTATTTTGATATGGGGGGAGGGGGAAATCAATTTGAAGATGGAAAAATTAGTTTTTATTTCCTAATTAGTTTATTTTAGAATATTGAAACGACCTGTCACTGATAACATTTAATAAGTTATTGTTTTGTTGCTACATTATTTTAAATTTGTTTCTGTGTCTTATAACCAAAGACAAGGCATTAGTTGTATTTATTATGAACACACTATACAATACAATGAAGGTACCGCATACTGATGTTTCAAACAAGCGGCGCTGTTTGAGTTAATGCTGAAACTGGATATACGGAAGACAATGCCCTGCTTGTGTTGAGTAAATAGGATAAAATCATGTTTGCCGCTTTTCTAATTATGCGGAGCCCTTACATATTTTTTTATATACACGCTAACCTCAGTGCGTCTTATTTCTTTGTTTCCTGGTTTAAATGCTCTCTTAAAATTGAAAACTTAATTTGTCCCAAAAAAAATCTGATGGCACAACATGCGGCATATAATCCCTCTGTGGGCATCTCTGGTTATTATCATCTTCACCTCCGCGAACAGCTATTGAGAAACGTCGACAAATATTAATTGCAAAGAGCCTCAAGTCAACTGTGGCAACTATTGTTTGTTAATTATTGATATAGACATCTCAATAAATATTTTCGAACAATTTTCAAAGAATGGGAATACAGGGAGAGAATGGGGAGAATACTCAGAATTACCAACTTCCAAAACTTCTCGTGAAATGATTCTCGATGAGAAAACTAAATGTATTTTGTTAGTGTTTTTTTGCTCAATCGACGTGTATGTCTATCCTCTAAAAAGTGGAAAATTATTTTAGTGGACATCAACAAAATTTTTATAACAATTCAGTGAAACCTGAAATTGTTGATTAGCCAAATTCAGCCTCTATTGTACATATTTTTCAATACTTTAATTTAATTCAACAACGTGCAATTAAACAAGAAAATCTGGCCCTGGATTGCTTAAACCTGATTGTGTATAGGTAGTTTTAATTCAGAGAAGAAGTGTCATGTCCATTTGGTACCACTGTGTGCAGTCCGTTATGGAGAAAATTTTCAATCATAATCTAAATAGAAAACTAAATAATGTGAAGGACGCGCGGCACTCGTTCATAATCTCTAAGTATCCAAAATAATATTTTTGTATATTTAGTGAATCCCCGAGAAAATTCATGGGAAAAGTTATAAAGAAAAGAAAATTGTTTTGGGGAGCTAACTCATTACGTATACATATTATCGGTTTTCAAGAGATATAAACGTTTCTGAGTCTGTTTTGAAGCCTAGTATTTGAATGGTCATTAAATTTCTGACTAAATTGTCAAAAATTAATTGAATGGGACCAGTTTTAGCAAAGTTACAGTATATTGTTTTTTATAACCCGATTTTAATGGTGGTCCATTTGCTATTTCTAGGTCAAAAGATAGGCTTCAATGTATCTCTTCTTAAGTGTTGATCTAAGACATAAATTAACGTGTTTAATAAATTGCAATAGGCTAATAGGTAATTGCAAGACCTGCAAGACTGCGAGACTCTTGCTGCAAGACCAAGACCAAGACCAACGCTGAGTGTTCAAGACCAAGACTAGCCAAGTCTTGCGTTGGTCTTGCATTTTGGCAACACTAACTGTTAGTGGAAAGAAGGAAACGGATCATACTAATTAATAATCAATAGCTTGTAGGTTAAAATAAATTTTATGTACGTAATACTCCGATTTTATTTCACTCGGTACAACCGAAAGGACTTATTTACCAACCTAATATATTTTCTTAATGACGTCTGTTTGCTGAATTACAGGCACCTGCCAGAGACAATAGGCTAATAATAAATACACATTAGTTCTCATCGCAACTTGTTCCTGAATCAACCGCTTAACAATCAAGCAACTGATTTCTTTTCGATTTACAAAAAACTGCAAAATTATGGTAATGTTCGTATTTTTATTATTACATAGCTTGTTCCGACTTATCCACACTGACCAAGAATAACCTCGATTTTAAGCTATTGTTTAATATTTATGTTATTGGTGAAAGACGAATTTTATATGTTTAACTGAATCAATATTTTTCTTGAAAATTTCTTTTCGATATTCCGCATCGACTTTGTGAATTTCTAAATGTCATGTTATTATTATCCCTTTTAAAAATATATTAATACCAATATAAATTTAAATAGTTAGAAAAAAGGAAGGAACTTAAAAATATTAATAAACAAAAGATTTGTATAGCGTTTAAGGCACTGTTGAAATGAAAAAATAAAACAAAGTATTGGTATAGCAACACGATTTCAGTTTTATTTAAAATATCTAGTTTATATAAAATGTCAGAACTTTTAAACAATATAAAAACAATTTTTTTTAGGATAATGGAATGACAAAATATTTAAACTATTGAAAATGTATATTTTTTGTCTTTTTAAATTTAGAGGAAAAACTAGTAAGAAGTATGAATGTTACTATATTTTAAAACTTTTAAATAAGGTTTTTATAGCAATAATTCTAATCTGAGTGATAATTATATGAATAATAACTACATATACCAACTGAAACACAAACATATTTTACAGTTAGTGGAAAGAGGAAAACAAATTATACTAAATAATTTGTCAATAACTTCTAGATTAATATATTCATCGATTAGAGCATTACAATAAAGATTTATTAAGTCGAAATTAAACAAAAGAAATGTAAACTGGTATAGTTGATTTTTTTTTTTTTCTTCAATTCTTCATCCGCACATGTCATGGCATAATATAATATTATAATATTAATATAATATTCTAATATATTTAAGTTATAATACATAAATTTATTAGAACAGTGATCAATGGTAATGACCCAATGGCTTCAAATATTAAAACTCTAAATTCTTATAGATGCAAAAAATAAATAAAGTATATTTTGTATATATTAGGTGAATTAATAATAATGACGATAGAAAATAGGGATAATTAAACACTAACCAAGAAGAAAACTAACATCAGCCTTGTTACGTAACTTAATAGTATTATTTATTATTTATCTTTTGACATTGGCCTTACCTAGAAAATTGTTTGTTTTCTTTTGCACAGCCTTCGTAAATTTATAACAAATTTAGTCAGTCAGACTCCTCATTTGATTAGCTAATTCCAGTTCTTGTTGTTTCATTATATTTTGAATTTGATACTTCACATTAGTGATTTTTTTCAGAAAATCCTGATAAATAATTAAAATGCTTCTTAATATTAAGTTAGCACTTATGTTTTTTAAATCTAATCAACGAAAATTCAGGTATGTGTTATTTTTCATTTTTTGTTGGTATAGTTAATATCATTAAAAAAAAATTGTTGCAGAATATTGCAGAACAGTATTATAATAACATAATCCGGCACCCTTGGAATGCTCCCCATACGCGGTAATGAACCCGCGTTTATACAAAACAAAAAAAATTAAAGTGAGAGATATAATGATATTACAATGCATTCTCAAATATATATTTTGTGATTTAGCCCGTTATATTTATCAATTAAAGAGCAGCCCTATCTTCTAAAAATGTTAATAATTGTCTATTTTAATAGTTAATCAAAATAAGATGAAGGCCTTTAAATAATCTGGTTTCTTCATCTTAAAAATCAAGTGAGTTTATGATTAACTTATAGTTAAGAAAAACTTAATTTTAGTAATTAATATTAAACTATTGTTTTAGATAGATATTGACATAAATTAAACTAAATAAATGTATGTATATATATATTTGTATATATGTATAGAGAGGGAGAGAGTGAGATATAGAGGCATATAAATAAATTATCGAATAAGACATACAACTATATGCCATAGGTATATGTCACAACCTAGCATTTGTATTAATTTGTAGTATTTCATCCGCTCATTTTTAAATGTTCTCATAATAATAATCAAATATTTCTCTTACCAAATCCTACCCCAAGCTTCTTTTTTATCTCAACCCACCGCCCACCGTTAAAACACAAATCTGTATGAGAAGCCTTAATTCTTTGTCCTTCTACACTGGGGCTGTTTACAAATCTATCAATTTTCTCAGCTCTAAATATTTGTGTAAATAGCCTTTTACATCTTTTTTTTTTCTCTCCTACCTCTTAGATTATAAGGGGTTTCCCCGTGCCCGGGAAGAGTGTAGGGTATTGATTACCAAATTTAAAAGTAATCGGCACCGGGATTCGAACTCATAATCTTCAGTTTATCGGGTTTCCGAGCATCCAGAGCATACCACCATGCTGTTAAACATTAAGATCGAGTAAATCTGTATATAAACGATCAAAATAACAGTGCAACATTATCCAGTATAAACGAGTGCAAACATAGGATCCATTATATAAAGAAATAGGGATATTAAAATAAAAAAGTAGTTATAAAATTACCAAGTACTTCTTTTAAAATCTAGTATATATAAAATATTCATCTTTGACCCTTATTTATTGTAACGATTCTTAATTATTACTAACTGGTGAATGTTTTATATAAATTATATTTTAGATAAATAATATTATTAGATATAAACCTTTTATTTCCAAACGTTTTACAGAGATATTTGAGAAATCAAATACATCATGAATTGGTGCTTTTCTGAACTTTTGAAAATTAGAGATATGCTGAGATTGTTGTGCATGATAATTAATTTTTTTTTTTTTTTGTATATACGGTGCTATATTTTTCGTCTACTATATTATCATATATTATTAATATCAAATCTACAATTAGCTTAGTTATTAGATACTATCCTTTTCTTTCTTTTTTTTTTATACTTATCAAACTCTAGGGACAAGTCTGTTCGGTGTGATTTTATTGTTGGTTGTTTTGTTATGTGGTACGTGGCATGAAGCATAACTACCGTCGCTTAAGAAGTACAGGCTGCTTGTGAACATAAACAAACTAGTTTTTATATTAGAAATATCATTATGAATTATACAAGATATTATTTATATTTGCAGGGGTATGGCGGAGACCCCACCGACTGTGGGCAGCCTCGCCCGATCCTGGCTGGCCTCCTGCCGGGAGTCCAGGCGCCTGGTCCTTGTCATTGTAGCCATCGCACTCCTCCTCGACAACATGCTCCTCACCACCATAGGTAACTATATAGTTTGAAAAAAAAACAACATATATATTTTGTTGCATAATATGCATACGTAAATATATTATGTATAATAATAGAGTGTATAAAAAAAAATATTTTGTTTTTCAACCAAATATTTGTATTATTATTTCTTTGATATAAAATACAATTAACACTCAAAGTATAGTCCATTGTTATCTAATTACTTTTAAATTTAGTTACGGCTCCCTTATCGCAGTAAAAATTTTATTATAACTAGAAATTTCCTTAATGATGTTAAAAACTTTGTATTAAGGCCCTTGATAGGAAGTGATTTAACCTGGAAACCATTATTCAAATACCTGGCGGACACAAGGCGCTTAAAAGCTTTTTAACTCAAAGGGCTCAGCTTTCATTTTAAAGTACACTACACGCGAAGTTATTAATAAAAATGACCATTAATTACCGGGAGAACTCTACTCATATGCCTGAGAAAGCTTTTAAACTGTCTGGTCTGATTTATTGATCCGCAACAGTGAGGACACTTTTTATCGATATTATTTCTACGTTTCACAATTTATTGAATTCTGTCACCAATTTTATTTATTCGATTATTTCTTATTAATCTTATCTGCTTTACTATCTAAAACTACTTTCTCGAAAAAGACTTAAGTAGAATGAAAAGTTACTATGAAACAAATTTAGCAAACGTGCCAACCTGCATTCATTTTTTTTACTTTCAATACTAAATATAAGTATTGCGATCGTGAAAATTTTGAATCTGAGTTTTCAATGGAAATACACTTTTTGAGGTACCCTGAGTCCAAATAACCAAGTCCTGAAAAATGGTCTGTGTGTATGTGAACACTATAGCTCGAAAACAAAAAGTCTTATGAAACTGATATTACGTATTTAAGAAATTTATATACCTTAAATGTCCTTGCAAGTTTTTCCTTAAAATCGCCTAACCAGAAGTGCCACTTTATATCAACGCTGAAACACATATTTCATGAACACAACTTGATTAAACTCGCTGTATCATTGTATAATTAAGTGGTCTTTTAATATCATTTAGGTCTCATCCCCGTTGATATCACTTTACTGGGCTTAAACGCCCAATGTTGATATACGTCTTCCTCTAAAGTACCTTTAACATGGTTTATTTCAAATAATTAACTATCTCTCATTATTAAAAGTTACAAAAAAGTGATAAATTTAATTTTTGAAAGAATTTGATAAGTTAATAAAGGAGATAAAAATTAAAATGCTTATCCAGGTCGAAAATGAATCTCCGGTAATACTATTCAGAAGGTATAGTATAATATATCGTTGGAAAGCGGAGAATTTTAGAAAAAAATAATATCTAATATAGAAAGTTGTAGAAGGTAACGGAGAGTGTCGAAAAAATAATAAATAATAATTTTTAAAAACAAATATTATTAATTATTAATATAATGTTTAAAATAAATCACATGATTTTAAATTAAATGAAATGTTCTTATTAAATGTAAACTTTATAATGTCTTCCTCTAAAGTACTTTTAATTTGGTTTATTATAAATAATAACTATTTATCATTGTTAGTTATGGAAAAATGCTAAATATAATTTTTGGAAGAATAATTAAATAAAGGAGAAAAAAAAGAAAAATACTTATCCGGGTCAAAAATGAATATTCGGAAATAATAGTCAGAAGATATATGTATAATTACCGTAGGGAAGTGGGGAATTAAAAGAAAAAAAAACAATATATAATGTAAAAATTTTAAGAAGGTAACGTAGAGTGACAAAAAAAAAAAAATAAATAATTTCTAAAAACTAACAATATTTGACGTAAATCAGATGTTTCCAAGGAAATTGAATGAAATTTTCTTAGTAAATGTAAACTTTTAATTTTTTTATGTTTGAAAACGTATTTAAAACTCACAGATTCAAGGCAATGATATTGTCTAAGATAATCTTTCATTGTACTTGTGTGAAAGAAGAAGTGAAATATAAAAATATTTCGTGGATGTATAAAGCATATGCTTATAACCTTAACTACATTTACTGTAGTTTAGTGATTATAAATCTGATATTATATTTAAATAATTAGGTATCAACGTTTATTCCGAAAAAATGTGATGTAACTTTTTTGAAAATTAAATTAGTTAATAATTTGATGGATTTTCCATTTGTGAAATCCCAACATTACGCCTTCCTCTAAAAGTACTTTTAATTTGGTTTATTATAAATAATAACTATTTATCATTGTTAGCAGTTATGGAAAAACGCTAAATATAATTTTTGGAAGAATAATTAAATAAAGGAGAAAAAAAGAAAAATACTTATTCGGGTTAAAAATGAATATTCGGAAATAATAGTCAGAAAATATATGTATAATTACCGTTGGGAAGTGGGGAATCAAAAGAAAAAAAAAAACAATATATAATGTAAAAATTTGTAGAAGGCAACGGAGAGTGACGGAAAAAATATAAACAATAATTTCTAACAACTAACAATATTTGACGTAAATTAGGTGTTTCCAAGGAAATTGAATGAAATTTTCTTACTAAATGTAAACTTTTAATTTTTTTTATGTTTGAAAACGTATTTAAAACTCACAGATTCAAGGCAATGATATTGTTTAAGACACTATTTCATTGTACTTGTGTGAAAGAAGAAGTGAAATACAAAAATATTTCATGGATACGTTTATAACCTTAAATATATTTACTGCAGTTTAATAACTCTAGATGTGGACAGCTGTTAAAAAGCTTTAAAAAAAAAATTGAGTAAATTTACTCGCGTCCGTACATTGTACACGTGCCCTCCGGTTATAACTAAATGAGCAATATTGTCGCCGCGAAGACAGTTCAACAACATAAAATCCACAAAAATATGAATCCATCAAAATTAAGGAAACCAAAAGGCCCAGTCAAAACACGGAACGCTGGTGGCCTAACTGCTGACAAATTCACAGAATGGAAGACGATTATTACAAAGGAGGATGCTGATTTATATGGGATCGTAGAAGCCGGCTCATCCACTGAAAATATCCAGTATTACCAATTACCGGAATAAACTTATAACCTATTTGAAGATGGAAGAGAATGATAAATTGGAAACTGTACAGTTAGATGTATGGAAAAATAAAATCCATAGGAGGTTCTATGTAATGTACAACCCCCCAATGAATAGACCAGACCTATCCTGGCTTGAAGCACAGTGGGGATCCCAAGACCTTTTATACGGTGAAATTAATGCCCCATCCACGAGATGGGATTATAACCAAACATCAGTCGTTGGTAGGATTTTTGAGGATTTCATTGACTCGAACCCAGTAGAAATTATTAGAAGAGAAGACAACAGTCCAACGTTTATTTCATACCGGTGCAATACTAGCAATCCGGATGCAACTCTGACTCACTCAAATATAAAAATGAAATTCACTGTTCTATGGAACATGCGTCAGGAGAATTAGGACACAAGATATTAAAAATAATAATTAGGACCCATAAGACTATTGGACTCTCTGAACCTCAAATAGCCAAATGGAACTTGAAAAAATCTAGTGTGTCCACTCACGCGACTTATTTCAGAGAAGTTTTAATATCTTTACATATGTTCATGAACACACAAAAAAGAATTGAACTGAATTTATTTTCCTGAAAATTGATCAAACAAAAGATTTGAGTACGATTTATTTGATAAACTAAAGCAATGAAACCGACTTAAGGTAGATCAGTGTAAAAATTTCAATACTCAATAATATTGCTGATCAAAAAAGTTTTGCCATAGCTTAGTATTGTCAAAAAATAATTTCTGTTAAAAGTAGAGGAAATAGTGAAGATTGTGTGATGCGGGGAGATTTTCTTACTTACACTGTCATCTTTATTCTCTCATTCACCCCTTCCTGGGACCAGGAAAAGAACAACGTAATCTTTCATTGGAATAGCGGTAACTTCGTTAATAGTTGTCCAAAATGAACGATTTTTATATAGCTATGTAGGGAATTTCATTACCTTTCAAATGACAGGCTTAATTCGTTCGGCTTGACTATTGCGCATGGAGCATATATTCGCTATGAAGACTGGCGGAATCGTAGGAATATATGTTGGAGTAGTGGTTTCTGTTTCGGTTGTAGCTTCTGACTCTGCTGGTAGGTTGGCAAGTACTTCGAATTTGTTTGAAGTTTCTATATTTTGAGAATGTGGCTGTTGAACATTTCTAATTTTCTTCTTCTTTTCAGCCATTGCTCTGGTTTCTCGGGTGATATTTGAAGGGGCACAAACACCTTCGTCATTGCTGTTTTTTGAAGATTTAGGACGGGAGATAGTCTGTTCTTTTTAAATCTTTTGCACTTGAACTTTCCATCTTTTGAACTTGGGTCAAGAACACTCCGAAAACTGTTTGCCGTTCACGCTCACACTGGTTGAAAGTTTCGCGACACACGTATCGATTACAGGTTACCGATCAACCTGCTGCAAGGAACCGGTTACTAGTTACCGGTTAATGGTCACAACACATCGGTTAATGGTCATCGGTTAACGAACAAAGCACGGGTTACTGGGCAGGAATTTCACTGTAACTAAGCACTAGGCATTAAGAGTCTTGTGAGAGCAACGCTGCCCTTACCCCTGAGGGCTGCTGTCAAGGTAGGTTCCAAGAGATATCTATGGACCTTGGCAGCTTGAGGGCGCTATCTACACAAGTATTCTTAAACTGGACCTGGGAGCACTTAGGTTGGGAGCACAAGGTCTTCAGGTCTTCGGAAGGTCTTCACTGGTTGAGAGCTGGAGGTGAACTGTAGTTTTATTATAAATTTTACCGTACAATATATACTTAGGGAGTTAGGTCCCATAACATTTTTCTTTTCTTTATAACTTTTTTTCCTGAATTTTTTCGGGAATTTAGTCTATATATGAAAATTGAAAGGACAATGATTATAACTTCATAGAAAAGTTTCATCAAAATCGTTAGAGCCGTTTTCGCGCTACAGTCTATAGAAAAACATGTTTTTCATTTATTGCGCGCAAGCTATTGCGCATGGAGCAACAAATATCTGTCACTGGCATCTGTAGGCAAAATCCTAAAAAATAAAAAAAAGAAGCAACAAAATTGGTTCAGTAGATCCCGAAAAAATCTTGGCACAGACAGACAGACCAATGGCTAAAAATGTGTTTTTCGGATTCAGGGGACTGTGAAACGTATAGATCCGTCGAAAACCGCATGTCGGAAATTTTACCCGATTGCAATACTTTCCATACCTAGTATAGGTAGGAAAGTAAAAAGCTAAATGGAAATTATTTTCCAAGACATGTGATTTAAAGTTAAATGATCTTGTAATACAAGGTAATGTTGATGTTATTAATAAGAAAATATGTGAAACAATCTTAAAATGTACCATAGAAACTATTCCTAGAGGTTGCGTTAAGAAATTTTCTCCTTTCTGGAATGCTCATCTACAGAGATTGAAGGAGAAATGCCGGATAGAAATGCCGCCCAACAGACAATTCTTGGAAAAAGATAGATTTTAGGAAAGATGTCCAAGCTCACCGTTTCCTTTCTAAAATCAACAAGAACACAGAAACTAAGAAGAATAATCCTTTTGTAACGGCGTCCGGAAAAATTCTTACACCGGATTTGGCTATTGCCAAGTTCTTCTACTCATATTACTCTAAGGCTAATAATTACTATACAAGACCCAATCATAAGGTGAAATTTAAAGAATCTACAACCTGTTTCAACGAGGCAGAAACTTCGATTTTATGTTCCCCATTCACTGCTACTGAGTTCAATTCAGCTATTGAAAATATCCTATGTAAAAAAAAAGCGCAGGACCAGATAATATCCTTCCTGGGTTTATAAAACATCTAGGGGAGTCTGCGAGGGCTATTCTCCTGCGGTTTATGAACAAGATCTGGAGAAAAGGCTTGCCAAGTGCTTGGCGGAAGACTGAAATAATCCCTATTCCTAAGAAAGGCAAGAGTCCAAACAAACCAGAACACTGCAGACCAATCGCCCTCACCAGCATGCTCTCAAAATTGTTTGAACGACTAGTATTGTCTCGACTTGAGAATTTCTTGGAAATTAAGCGAGCTATCTCTAACAAACAAGCAGGATTTAGAAAGCATCGGAATACGGTGAAGCACATGGCATACCTTCCACATGAAATAAAAAATAGTTTCTACAGAAAGCAAAGTACAATGGCGATTTTATACATTTTTTTTATTGTAGACTTTAAAGCAGCATTTGATAAAGTCTGGAGAGAAATGCTGTTACTAAAAATTAGAGATATGGGTGTGGCAGGTAATATGTTCAAATGCATTTATTCTTTTTTGGCCCAGAGACATATCCATGTAAAATATAATGGTGTAGTTTCACCCACTAGCGGATCCAGGATTTAATTTTGGGGGGGCTTCAGCCCGAAACCTTCTTTTTTCATAAAAATAACGATAATTAGTTTGGAAAAACAGAAAGAAACTGACTACCTATATGAAATGGTGTTTAAATGATTCCTTAAGTCCTTTTAAATGTAATTACACGAACAATAATACTTTAAGAGGTATTTTTAAAAAAAAAATTTCCATAAAACATGGTTGTATTTTTCCATTTTAGGGAGGGCTCCTCCTCCTCCTCCTTCAATTCCTCAGCTTTGTCTTCATCAGACGCTGCCCAGGAGCCATCGCATCGACTGAGGGGATGGGAAATATGATGGGATTTAAGGATTTTGTTGGTGATCTTCCATAGAGAATTGTCGTGAACAGAGAGGGAAGTAAGGTAGGAGTTGAAGGATTGGGATTTGAAGATGGCCAATTCCTGGTTTCATCGTTTAGTGAAATAATTATAAGAGCGACGATCGGTGGGGTGTCTTGAACGTTTCCAGAATATTCGGGCACTGCGTTTGATATGAATTAGATCTAGCAGGTGCTGAGGTAAATTATTTTTCTTAGGAATTTTCGAGGAGAAATTTGGAGAGGAAGCAGTCCAGATTGCTTGCTGAATAGTGGTGGTAAAGGAATTTAGGCCATTATCGAGGTCTTCTGGGCTTTTCAGGGTTATCCTGAGGTCAATTTTATCGGAAAGGATTTGATGAAAGAGTTTCCAGTGAACTGGGCCTCTGATGAAGGACGGTGAAGGGGGTTTAGGAATAGTAGCTATTGATAATTGAAGTATTAATGGACTATGATCTGAGGAAAGTTCGTCAAGACGGGTAAGGGGGGGACCTAAACCACTGTGGATGAAAAAATCAAGGCTATCAGGATTGCGGTTAGGATCAGTGGGCCAGTAGGTTGGTATTGAGGTATTGAGTGCAGACAGAAATGTTCTGCCACGAGAATTCGTGGTTCTTGAACCGAAAACTTGATGCTTGGCATTTAAGTCTGCACCCAGGATGAAATGATGACCTAAGGAGTTAAGGAGGGAACTGAACTGGACTTTGGATATGGATCTATTAGAAGGGCAATATGCTGATGCAAGGGTGACTGGAAAGGAGAAGGTTTTGATTACAATAGCGGTTGACTGTAGGTAATCTTGAGTAGGTAATGGGAGTAAGTGATGGGAGAGGGATTGGTGTACGACGACAGCAGTACCGGCATGTGCTGTACCGTTTGGAATGGAATTTCTGTAATTAGGGCTACGTCAATGTTCTTGTCTTGTAGTAAAGCTGTTAGTTCGTCAACGTGATTTCTATCACCATTCGCATTCCAAAGGAGAATGGACATGGGTTTTGGGATGTGGGTCATTAAGGATTTTGCAAAGGAGGGATGAGGTGAGATACGAGATTTGTAAGGAGTGATATGAGTGGAGTAACTAGGGATTTTAAATCGGTGAGGAAAGATGCTAACGAACTGGTGAGATCTGTTTCATTTGAAGGAGGAGGAATTTGAGGTTGTTGATAATTATGTGTGTTATGATGAACAGAATATTGAGGTTGTGGCTGAGGTAGTTGCTGCGGCAGGGCTTCACATGCATTATTTGAGTTCTTACCTCCAAGTAGTTCGGAGTATGATAAATTATTATTAACAATTATAGAAGGTTCTCTTCTTGTTCTGGTTGTCTCATCTTGAATCCGGTTCTTCTGGTATCTGGATTTGAGGCTCTTATAGGTTTGGCAGCCTTTGTAGTTGGCCAGGTGTCCCTGCTGGCATAGTTCACACACTGCAGGATCGTGTATCGGTTTGGTGCACTCCACAGATTTGTGCTGTTCACCGCATTTCACGCTGCGCGGCAGATGATGACAATAAGTTTTCCTGTGGCCATATGTCTGGCAATTGTGGCACTGTACAATTTTCTTCTTGGGGTATGGCTTCTCTATCTTCACGATAGTCTAGTACAATTTCTTGATATCATATATTTTCTCGATACCAGAAATGGCTCTAGATCAACGAAAAATAAAGGTAGTGGAACTTTATTACTTACTCCTGACTGTTCCTTATTCTCAGAATGTTGATTACCTGAAGCACTTTGAAACCAAGCGTCGCTAGTTCTTCTTTTATCACTTCAGTTGGGGTTGAGGAGTGTAAATTTCTTACCACTACTCGTAGCGATCTCTCCTGTTCCAGCTGGTACGTTTGGAAATTTGCATTCGTTTCTGACTGGTACTTCACAATTTTTCGGTAGGTTTCTGCAGTATCTGGTGTTATTTTTGTATCGTTGGTCCTGTTGAGGCAACAATAACTGCCGGAGCAGATTTCGTTTAGTTGTGTACACAGTAGTTGGTAATTTTTGATATTTTTTACAAATATCGGAGGATGCCTTGGTTCCCTGGGTATTGCTACTGACTCCATTACTTCTCTGTCATTATGAAGCACTTGGAACAGGTTTGGAGTGAAGAAAGGAGATTCTTCAACCATTGCGAAGAGGTACTTGGTTGAGGCTGAGGTTCTGGACCTGAAGTTTTCACTGTGGTTATTGGAGATATTTCTCGCAGGCAGCGACGAGTTCTTTGTTTCGCAGGTAAATCACGAGGGTTACTAACACCGTCTGACCGAGTCCTCTTACTGGACATCACTTGCTGACAATGACAATATCATAAGAGAAAAAAAAATTAAAATTAAAAAAAAATGTAGTAAACAGTAAATAACAACTGCTCTGGTGTACACTTCAACTGTATTCAGTGAATAATCAAAGAGATTCCGCTGGAAAATAGGCAAAAACTGAGAGAAGATTTCAGAACATAACCTTCGTATCAGCTGATCTACTGCCTTCTCCTAAGAGTAAAAGTTAAAGAAATACTGGAAAGAAAACAAATAGAGCTAGGCATGACCCTGCCATTTAATAAATGTGATGACCATCAAAGATTTATTGCAGAGGCACGGCTAGATCTAACACAACCAGTAAGCAAACATTAAACACCTGAGTGGGAATTGAAAGCGCTTGCTTTGGAAACAATAAATAGCCGCTATTCCAAGCAGAATTGGCTCCACGTATACACCGACGGCTCTGCTCAAACAGCTAGGCGGAATGCAAGAGCAGGAGTATACTGCCAATATTTCATGTTATCCATCACTGCTGGTAGCCGGGGAAAAAACTTTGATGGAGAAGTCAAAACCATTTCGGCAGCATTGACTGAAATAGATAAAGAACTCACCTATTCCCAAGTTGTGATCTTTGTTGATTCACAACCCGCCATACTGTCGGTCTGCAATGGCCTGGACCATCCTGATGTCACCAGTGCCAGGAATCGGATTAATAACTTAATTAAAAAAGGAATACGAGTGGCTTTCCAATGGGTTCCAAGCCATTGCGGGCTACCAGTAAACGAAAAAGCTGATGAGCTCGCACGGTTCGCCTCGGAAATACCACAAACTAATCCTCCGCTGCCCTACGAATCTGCTAAAAGGACTTTAAAATCATTTTACACGGAAGAGAACAAGAGTTGGCAAAAGCGACAGGCAGCGGGAAAAAAATGGGAATGTTTAACAGAGAAGCCGAAGAAAAAAAAAAATAGGAAAGAATCGGTGGCAAACTTCCGCATGGCAACAGGGCACGATTACCTGCAAAGGCATTTACATAAGATTGGAGTGATGGAAAGCTCTGTGTGCCCTCTTTGCCAACAGGACGAGATATAGAACCTGCACCTCTCAGTTTGCCCCGCTCTGTCAGATGTCCCTAGTACTTCTGATGGGATCGGTACAAATTTAAACAAACGATTCATGTCGGAGTTGTATTGGGCTGCCAGGAGCCGACTGGCCTAATAGCCACCGGCATAGGCGTTTAATAAAAAAAAAAATAATAAATAAATAATTCTAGATCTGATATTATATTTAAATAATTAGGTATCTAGCGTCCCTTCATTCCGAAAAAAACTTTTAGAAAATTAAATTAATGAATAGTTTGATCAAATTCCCTTTTGTGATATTATAACCGTATCCACCTACAATTAGTGTGACAACATTTGACCTGTCTATGACAGACAATGCAAATTTCTTAATTCCGTTTTAGTAAACCCTGCAATGGGAAATAACAGTTTAATAACTAATTACCTAATAAGCCGTACAATCCATAATCAACGAATCGTACAATCCATAATCAACCGGTGATATAATAAATAGAACTTTTGTATTTTAATGGTATTTATGATTTGATAGCTGTGGCTCAGTTAAAAATGCAATTCTAAAATTTTATAATAGCCCAACATGGCCAGAAAATAAGAATTAAGAAATAAAAACAGAGAAGAAAAAAAAAATAATACACTGTCTTAGGTACGAACTCAAGATATTCTGAATGTAATATGAAGCGCCGTGACCGTGAACTTGAAAGATAAGACCCGCTGAGGAGAATTATCTGCCGCGTATGCTATCTCTAGCAATCGAGCACCAATTTAATGTTGCTAATTGTTAATAAAAAGTCACTCACCTCGCTGATTGTAATGTAAAATGTCAAATATTTTATAAACTCACTGTTTGCCAAGTCTGAGAACAGGATTTGAGATAATAACCACATAACAAACTAATAAAGACGGAACGATACGAATATTGAACTTCAGTTGCGGCCATGACACTTGATACTTTTATATAAGGTGTACTTCTAAGCTTGTACTCGATGATTTTTTGGGATAAATGGCGGATAGCTGGATAGGATAATTAGAAACTGGAGGAAAACAGAAAAATGCTTATCCAGATTGAAAATGAACGAAAATAGATCTCCGGAAATAACTGATCGATTGAAAAAGTAAATAACTTTTAAAATTCAATCTATATTAAAAATGAAATAACTCGATATCGATCGACTTCTAGACGAAAATATTGAAAGTAAGAAGTACTGGAAAACAAAAAGAACAGCTTTAAAAAGTTGATCCGGAAAAGAAATACCCCCTCTTCAAAAAAAAAAAAAGAAGGTTAGTAATTTTTTATCAGGGTAGTAAGAAAAGAACTAACCAATTGGTATAAAAAAAGTTCATTCCTCAAATAGCAAGTCACATTTAGACTTGCAGGATGACAAAAACTCAAAAACCTAAAGTTGTAACTAATAGAAAACGAACTCCTGCCTTCATAAACCTTTCTAAGCAGGACAAAACAGAAGCGTCTACTCGTAGTAGAGGGACTAAACAGAAATCTAACGTATCGTCTATCACAAAAACAACAAATGTTATCCCATCCAACGAATTACTTAAACAAACAAATGCTACTTCACCCAAAGAAATGGCACCTCAACCCGTTCTTATGTTGTCTAACACTCAGGACAAATTGTCAACCAACAATATTCCTAAACCCCCTCTATAAATTTAAAATCAGTTAAAAACTTCAAAGAATTATGTCAAAATTTATCAACAGAAGTCGGACCTCGCGGGTTTTATTGTCTTTCTAACACAAATGAGACAAAAATATTTCCATCTACTCCAGATGATTATCGAAAAATAATAAAACTATTAAAAGCACAAAATGCAACATTCTACACATATCAATTACAGAATGAAAAACCATTTCGTGTTGTCATCGTACGAAATAGAACTCAACAAACTAACTAGAAAACTTCACAAAAAACTATTAAAATTTAAAAATGACAGCTATAAAGACTATATAGACAATCTAAATATAAACAATATAAATATAAGACAATAAACAATATAAATGGATCAATATGGACAACAACAAGACGTATACTAAAGAAAAAAGACCTTCAATACCCTCTACAACGTACAGACAACACTTGGGTAATAACAAGCGAAGAAAAAGCCAATGAATTCGCTAAATATCTTGCACAAGTATTTGGGACAAACACAATACAGGACAATAATTTTACTGACGCAATAGAAGAAGAATTGACAACACCACTACCCTTATCACTACCCCCACCGGCATTTCATCCAAAAGAAATTTACAAGAAATATTTATCACTCTACTGTGCAACAGTGCCATCGGATAGTAGATGCTATCTCTGTGACTTGAAAAAAAGGAATATTGCTCTGCCGTCTTTCTCGACATAGAGAAAGCATTTGATAGTGTCTGGCACAAGGGCCTATTATCAAAACTAAAACCGTAATTACCTTTCACTTATTTTTTAATTCTTCAATCCTACTTTCTTAATCGATTTTTCTGTATTTCCGTAGACTCTTCTGTATCTTCCTTCTTTCCCCAACACAAAGGCGTACCACAAGGTAGAGTCTTAAGCCCAATCCTCTATTCTATATACACTTCTGATATCCCTGAGCACCCTAATACCACCATTTATTGCTTCGCTGACGACACTGCTATTCCAACTTCACACAAAAATCCTACTATCGCATTAATTGCCCTACAAAACCATCTTCATGATCTTGAAAAGTGGTTTGAAAACTGGAGAATCAAAATTAATAGTACAAAATCCACCCACATTAGTTTCTCTCTTAGAAAAGCCTCATGTCCACCCATAACCATTGCCAATAATCCAGTGCCTTCAAAGAACTATGTACGGTACCTTGGACTCTACTTAGACAAAAGACTTACTTGGAACATACATACGAAATTAAAATGACAAGAACTTACCAGACGATATAGCTAACTTTCACATCTTCTGGACTACAGATCTTTACTTAACTTACGAAACAAGCGACTTATCTACAACACCTTGCTGAGACCAATATGGACATATGGAGCAGAACTTTGGGGTTCAGCAAAACAAACACACATAAACAAAATACAAACAGCACAATCAAAAATTTTACGAAAAATTGTTAACGCACCTTGGTACATTTCAAACACTACTATACATAACGACTTAAACACCCCAACAATAAAATCCTACATCCACGACAAACACACTACATTTCATTCTTCAACCCAAAATCACTCCAATCCTCTGGTTCTTTCTATCTCCTGCTCTCTGTCACATGAGCAACGAAGATTAAGAAGAAAATGGCCAAGAGACCTACTACATCAATAAAAAAATCAAGCAATGACACCAAGACAATAAAAATACAACAAATTTGCTAGATGCGCAGCTGCGCAGGTGCAAATTGCATAAAATAAAATATAAATATAAATAACTGTCAGAAGGTATAAGTATAATATATCGTTGAAGCGGAAATTTTAGAAAAAATAATATCAAGTAAATAAAGTTGTAGAAGGTAACGGAGAGTGACGAAAAAAATATTAGAGACTCGTTTATAAGTGGCTTACAATCAAATTTCATCCGCCAACGACTGCTTAAGACTACCCAGCTAACATTAAAGGAAGCTCACGAACCAGCTCGAACCCCTGAGTTAGCTCAAGTTCAGGCAAGGTCATATCAGATTTCCATAGGTTCTGTCAATGCCGTACCTGATTGCAGATCTAGTAATAATGGGGAGGCTGAGGTTGCTACATATTATTCGTGCTACATATTAGAGAATAAAATGAGAGCGCTACACCTCATTATATTAGAGAACAAAATATAACTTTAGCTACAACTTATTTCCAATGTTATTTTTGTGGTTTTTATAAACATAACCGTGGCAAATGCACTGCGAGGAATGCTATCTGTAATTGTTGTTCGAAAAAGGGTCGTTATTGTAAAGTTTGTAGGTCTGCTATATCTGAGAAATGAACTGCTGCTGCTATTGTTGCAACTAACCCTTCTGGTTTAGTTGCACACAGCTTGAAGAAGGCAACAGCCAAAGCTGTTGTCAATGGTTCAGAGGAGTGTGTGTTGATTGATACTGGAAGCTCTGCCAGTTTCATTAGCGATCTGAAGATTAAGCCATTCAATGAGAGAATTCCAATGGCATCTACTTCTCTCTTTCAAGAACTTACGTCCAATATGTAGTTGACAATAACATGTTAGTTCACTATTATAAAGATGCTAGATTGTCTGTCCTTCCTGACATTTGCGCTAATGTGGTCTTTGGTCATGATGCACCATGGAAGTGTGAACCTGTACTTTGGCGGTCCCAAGCAACGCTAACTGTATGTGGTCTTGCTGTACCAAATGTTGCACCCGCGTCACTCTTTGAATATCTTTTACCGGATTGTAAACCAATTGCGATAAAATCACGTCAACAAAATAAAAATGATTCAAAATTTATAGAAGCTAAGATGAAATGCATTGTAAATGACGAGATGACTGAACCGAGTATATCTCCTTGGAAAGCTCAAATACTCGTTACCTCGAGTAACAATCATAAAAGTGATTGTTAGAAACTGGAGGAAAACAGAAAAATGCTTATCCAGGTGGAAAATGAATGAAAATAGATCACAACAAAGATTACTCTCTCACTATAAACCGTTATATCCTCCTGGACGAATATCCACTTCCTCTAATAGAGTCCTTAGTAAATAAGATCGCCCATTATGACGTATTTAGTACCATTGTCCTACGTAACAGTTATCATCAAATTCCTAAAAAAGATATGATCTACATTGCTTTTGAAGCGTGTGGTCGGCTTTTCAGTTCAAAAAGATTCCATTTGGGGGAACCAGCGGTTTTGCCGCATTCCAAAGAGTGGAAGATCAAATAATTCGCAAAGAGAGCTTCAAGGATACATTTGCATATATTGACGATGTCACTGTCCGAGGAAGAGATCAAAGAGAACACGAATTAGTGGGTGCTGCTTAAAAGCACAATCTAACGCTGAACAATGAAACAAGCGCTTATCCTTTAAGATCTATCAAGCTTCTTGGATATTTAATGAGTAACAAGAGCATTCGCCCTGACCCCGATAGGCTAAAACCTCTCCGAGATCTACAACATCCAACGGGCATATCTTCATTGAGGAGAACCGTTGACATTTTCGTCTATTACTCGACCTACATAAAAGCATTTTCTAAGAAAATGCCTCTAACACGCTGTACGTTTTCTTGTCATAAGGCGCATTACGTGTATCAACTCCTTACAATCCACAAGGTAACGGCCAAGTTGAAAAGTACAACGGAATTATCTGGAAGACAATACTACTTGTGCTCAAGTCAAAACACTTTTCTGTAATTAAATGGGAATCGGTTTTACCTGAGGCTCTACATTCTGTGCGTTCTCTATTGTGTACAGCAACTAATGAGACATCGCATGAACGAATATTCAATCATCCCAGACTACGGAGAATGGAAAACCACTTCCTAGCTGGCTAATGAACTCTGGACCTGTTTTCTTAAAACAGTTTATTCGTCATTCTAAATTTGATTCTCTTTTAGATGAAGTAACCCTTTTGGATGCTAATGCTGAATATGCTCATATTCGCTATCTGTACGGAAGTGAAATAACAGTATCGACGAGATATCTTGCTCCTATTGGGAGAAACAGAAATTCTGCCGTATATGACGAGGAGCTAGATAGCAATCAGGAGAAACCTATTGGCACTAAAGCTGAGGAACACCTGACCTGATTAAAACATTATAATTCTTTAATAGTGTTGTATTTTATGATTTGAAAAAAACCTTACGTTGAAGGTATTCTTTATTTCACCACAGTCGTAAAGTCGCGTAATACCTTAATAAATCAGTTCTGACATGCATGATATGAAGTTTATCATAAAAAATAATATAAATAACAATGATATACTGTATAACTAATGAAAATGGCTATAGAAATAAGAAAAGACAAAATAAAACATTATACAATGTGCTAAACAAAGAAGCAGAGACTCTTGCAAAACATTTGAAAATCAGGGAGGGAAATGACGATAACGCTCTAATAATTAAAGATTAAATATTTAAAATGAGGGGAGCATTCTTTTATGAAAAGTATTGTTCTTAAATAAACTCGAAATATGTGGTTTGTGTTAAAGAAAACAATGTATTTTCTATTTTTCGATGGATAAAATAAGGATTAAGGTGGATGTAAATGTATTCAAATACTAGCCTTTGCTCGTCACTAAGAACTGTGGCGAGAAGAGAGGTGGTAAAAAAATAAAAGGAATAATTTAGGTATAAGAGCATATAAGGATGTTAAGCGGTAGGGTTACTGATGAAATATATTTTGTGTTTGGAGATACAGGTCTTAATTTGTTAAGTCAACAAAATGAAGTTTTGGTATTAATCAATTGTGTTATTTTATAGCTGGTTTTCCACCACTCTAACCACCTTCTCCAAGATTTTGTAGCCAACTTTTCCATACATCAACAGAGACTGTCTAGTATAAATGCAGATATAAATCTCCACACAACATAAACCGAGTTAATTGTGACTTTAAATTATGTTGTGGTACAATGGAGAAGTCATGTACATATGAGGGAATATATAGAAATGAAAAAGTGACTATAGGTAGCGATCACATGGACACAGGACACAAGTGGCTTATTGTGGCTAAGACAGGCAGGTGAGGATGGCAGATGAAGAGCCCGCTGTCACCGACAGGCTGGTATAGGCACGCCCACATGTCCCCATTACATCTCTCTTTATTTACACCTATAGTACCTCTCTTATCTAATCCCTAATAACCCATGTTAACCAGGAGTTTGGATAATCTACTCCCCTTGTTTTCAAGTATTGTATGCATCCGGAAATTCAGCGGAATTTCTTCTTGTAGTTAGCGTTTTCTGCCATAAATAGTGTGGCCTAGGCACTTTGCAAGAGCATGACCGCCTAATTGTTGAAATTTCAAGATCAAGACTGGACCCTGCAAAAAATTAATTAAAAAATAAATTTTAATGAATAAAAATCAAGTAAAAATAGTTACTAATACTAGACAATGTTAGTTATTATATTTTAAAAAATGGTAGAAGCAATATACAATATTTTTGCTTTTAATTTTAATTTTTCATTCAGGGTTTAGTTAGGTTTCCCCATTCTGAATAACGACTGTAATATCTCTATAGTATGAAGTGCTAACTTGTTTCAAAATATTATTAAATTTCCGACAAAACTATAAATAAATTGTCTGAATCGAGCTATTTTTAGCAACGTTACAGTGTATTGAATTTTGTACACTGGTTTTAGTAATCGTTCACTTGCCAGTTTACATTGCTGTAGTTCATCAAAGAAATCCTAGCCTAATGATTTCTCTGATCGGTTTTCAGGAAAATTAGTCTAATTCAATTGCGTTATTTTCAATGATTATATTGAAAATTAAAAAAAAAAAAGTTGTTTAAATTTGGTAAGAAATTCATATGAGTGGACACACCAGATTTTTTATTTAAATATTTTTTGACATTGTATAGAATGTCTTTACTCTACAACTCTTCCACTCCTAGCAGGGGTTATACTTATCATACTTGACCAGGGGTCCCAAAAGGGGTGGTTAGGTTATGTGGCGCAAATATTTTGAGAGGGGCATATTTTGACGGGTTTTTTTTTTTTTTTTTGCATTTAGGCAACGTTACCTATAAAAATTAATGGTCCCTTGAATGAAATAATGTCGAACATAAATTGATTAATTCACTCATGTTAGATTAAATTATAATCTTTCTTTGTGGTACCTAGTTGACGATTTATTATTATTGTCATTAATGGAATAGCTAAGTATAATTGAAAAAGAATAATATTTTTATTCATTTATTCTCAGATCCTACGTTTCGATCTCACCTGAATCCCTTTATATGGCTCTAAATAACAACAATAAGAGGTTTTATATAGATTGGTTTAGCACTTTTTCTATGAAAAACTAGAAATATTTGTTTAAGGTAGCAGATAACGGGTTGATGTATTGTAGAACGTTAGCGTTATATATAGGAACGAAAAACATTTCTGTTGAAATCAGTTGTTTTCTCGTGAGTTTGACATAATAACATGTAATAGACAGACGACAATTTACATGTATCATCATATTAGTCAATGTTAAAAAAATTAATTTACACGTAAAACAAAAATAAGATAATAAATAAAAATACCAAAACATTATTTGGCTATTGTTGATGGACTACGGATTCAGAGTTGGTACCTGACAAGTGTAATCAGTGTAAATGAAACAGAATTCCAAAATCTCAAATATTTTCAATTACGGGTGGATTGCCCACTTCAATTCAATTTTAATGGTGGCAGTGAGGGGCGGTATTGTTGACAATTTTCTTATTAACTTTTACCACTAACCTAATTTATTTGCAACACCTTCTGATTTCAAATCAATTAGACTATCACTAACGGTCTAATAATGGGTTGTTATAAACGTAATATTTTAAACCTAGTATATATAACAATTTAAGCTAATTCGCATCAATAGTTACTTTTTTTGAATATTAATAATTTTATATATATATATATATATATATATATATATATATATATATATAATATATATATATATATATATATATATATATATATATATATATAACTTACGTCAGTTCGAATAAGAAACAATAAAAAAAAAGGAAAAAAGGATCCGAAATGAAGCACGTGGTTACTCAAATAAGACTGACTTTATTGCCTTAGTAATGCCATATGAGTGCCATAGTATTACACTTTGTTTACACTTCATAGATAGGATTAACTTAGGATTAACTGTTATATTGTCTTACCTCTAACCATAACTCCCCCCCCCCCGCCAGTTTATGAACATTCCTCATAATCTAATGCAGGGTAACTGACGTAATACATAACCAAAATACAACAACTACAAACAAACAAAAAGAAAAGATATAATCGCCGTTGGAGTTCCTAGAACAGCCAGAGTAATAATAGAATAAAAAAACAATAAAAATAAAATTAAAAGACACTGTTATCTTACAACCAAAAGTGAACAACAAAATCAACTTAACTTTTTAGCGTCGGTCCCTAGCTTGTAGGAGACAGAAAAGAGGATATCCCACTACTGTAGTGACTCCGTCTCTATCGGGAGTTTTAACTGTTCTATGTGAACGGTCCTCCTTTTTCTGGGATCCTTCAGACTTTGGATCGTACAAACGTTGTGCTCTCTAAGTATGATTACCTTGAATGGTCCTTCGTAGCGCGCCAATTCCTTCCCCCTATTGGATCCGACCCTACGATAGACGACCGTCCCTATTTTTAATGCACCCATTCTATCTCTGAGGTTCAAATTAACCTTTTCCACCCTTTTCCGCTTCTCTTTCTCTATTCTCCCTTTCGTTTTATCCCACACTTTCCTTATTTGCGCTCTGTTACACGTTATCTGTTGAGCGTGGTCCTCGCTCGTGACTGTTTCCTTCCAATCTCGACGCCGTATATTTATTCCGAACAGTACCTCGACTGAGGAAAACCCTGTAACGGAGTGGATTGAATGGTTGTAGGCCGCTACCGCCCTCTGCATTGCTACGTCCGCTTCTAATCCCTGCTCCCCCTGATATATACGTAGGTGATCACTTAGGGTGTCGTGCAACCTCTCGATACCTCCCCTGCCCTTTGGATGTCCCGGCGTATTGAAGTGCCAAACTATATCCAAGCGCTTCGCTTCTTCTCGGATGGTACTGCTGTCGAACTCCCTGCCTCCGTCCGACGTTATGCGATCTGGCACTCCATAGAACTGGACCCACGTTTGGAGAGCTCCCACGACAGCCTCCGCCGACCTATCCTGTACCCGATGTGCCATTGCCATTTTGCTAAAGAGGTCTATCATGGTAACCCATTTAAAGCCTCTCCACGTGAATGTGTCGATTTGCACATCTTTCAACGGCGTATCTCCTGTAGGGGTTTCTTCTTGTACTCCTTGAGGTGGTCGTCTGTCATACTTAGTGCGCACGCACACTTCGCACATTCCAATGACTTCCGAGATCGTTTTCCGCATACCATCCCAATAATATCTCCTGCGTAGTGCGTGGAATGTTTCCTGTACCCCCCGATGGTTCGTCTTGCCCTGGTGATGTGCTAGTGTCACCTCCCTTTGCTGCTCCCTGTCCATTAACGTTTCAACCAAGTATTTACATTTAATAAATGACCTGTCGACACCTATTTTCTCTGCCCTCCAGAGTTTTTTGATCTTTTCCCAAATGGTTGCATTGCCTACATACAGATGGTGAATTTTCCCCGACTCCGAAGCGTCGTGCAAAGCCTTGCAAATCTGTTCCTCTTTCACCCCTGGTTGGGACCAAATGGTATTAATTTTCTTCTTCCCATATTTAGTGAAGTCGATCTTCATAAGCCCCGACGTTGTGGTCTTCCAAATTACTTGTCGTCGCTTATCGTTAATGATCTCCTCACATTCCTCCATGTCGGTAGGCCTTTCATCCACCGAGCTCTCTTCTCCTCTCGATTCCTCTGTTCTCGCATCCCCGGGTTCCCCTTCACCTTCCGGTGTCCATGCTCTCAAAAACTGCCGCACGTCCCGCGACGACTCCCCTTCTTCCTCCTCAATGGCATTTATCATTACGGCTCTGGACAGCCAGTCCGCTACTATATTCTCCTTGCCTGGCTTATACCTGACCTCCATGTTATATTGACTTAGGAACTGCTTCCATCGCGTGACCCTTGCCGATGATTCCTTCAGGTTGCCCAC